TGACTAGTTTCTCCACTTATAAATTTACTTTACTTTTTCGCTAATTTCTTATGTGAAATGTAAAATGTTGGTATCTTGTTATGTGCAGCATCACTTGTAATATACTGTTTCGTACGTAGTCCGGCTATCTACATGTTTACTTAATGTATAATGAATGTCTTGTGTGTGTTATTGTGTGTGTGTGTGTGTTAGTGTGTGTGTCTACATATGTATTTTTGTTTGTCTTTTTGTGAATAAAAAAAAAAAAAATTATGATTCGCAAGGCTAACAGTGTCTGATTACTTTAGATACGTAATTGCCTAGACCAGCCTTGAGCAGAATTCAACATTGTTGCAAATGCATGTAAAAATCAACTGACAGTACAATTTGTTCTTCAATTGTTACACCAAATTATTGAGATATCTAAATACTTGCTTTGTGGAAAAAAAAGACAATAAAGGTGCTGTAACAACTAAGATACAGTATCACCACAATTTCTTTTGTACATGTAAAAAAAAAAAAAAAAAAAAAAATTTGGCGAGTTAATTTTCTATAAAATATTTGTTTTCTCTCTAACTATTTTAAATCCAAAACTGAGGTGTCACTCCATGTGTAGCCAGGTGTGTTACCTAATAAAGCCACGGTCACAACCGGACGCACGAATTTCAGGATCGTACGTCCCCTGCGATTTTTGGATGTTGCGGAGGCCGTGGAGGTCGTAGAGGTAGAGGAAAGACTGCCTTGCGAGTCGCAAGGGCCACATGAGGTGTCCTTTCAAGCAGGGACGCTTACTGCAAGGAGCGAGGGCCGTGGAAATTGTACTCATTTCTTGAGTTTGTCTTGCTTCCTGTGTACGTGGCACACACTCACCACTTACAAAGGGAATGCAACGCACGGCGAAAGTAGTGCCCCTTTGCGTCAGTTTTGCTTCACACTTGCCTCAAACGTTTGTGGTGACATACTGCCGGCGTGCGTCAGTTTTGCTTCCTGTCCTCTTCTTTCTTCTTCCTCCTCCCTTTTTTCTACTATGTAAGCTTTTTTCTCTTGCCTTTTGGAGGCATATTAGAAACTAAATTGAGCAAAAATTTGACATTTTTGAAAATTGTTTGTACACGTTACACAGTCGAAGTTCATTGTAACGACACGAACGTGCGTCCGGTTGTGACCGAGGCTTAAGCAACGTAGCTTAATTGCTATGGGATTCTTGCTCTCAGAGAAAATGGCCAGAAACGGACAGCCATTGCCAGGCAATTCAACATTTATCAGGAAGCGTAAGTAAAGTCCTCCAAAGAAATGCTACAACAGGAGCACCTACTGCAATACCTCTACCAGGGTGTCCGCGTATCACACCAAGAAGACAGGATCGCCTTCTCCTTAGAGTGCGCCGTGCTGGTCGTACAAAGACAACCAGTGTCCCCAAAAAAGAGCGGCAGAATGTCATTCAAACGCCAAGGTCCATCGTGAACAAGAGATTATTGCAAGTCGGTTATTTTGCACGAAGACCAGTAGGGAAACTACTGTTAAGAGACGGTCATATACAGCGACGTCTGCAATGGGCTGGAGACCACGTGCATTTGCAGCCAAAACACTAGAATCACGTCGTTTTCGATGATGAGGCCAAATATGGATTTTTATGGTTGACGGTCGGGTCTATGTCCGCCGACGTGTGCCAGAGGCATAAAATGATGATTGTGTACTTCCTAGGGTGCAAGCAGGGGGTGGTAACGTCTCTGTTTGGGGAGCATTTCATGCCGGTGCCCAAAACCAGTTGGTTTTTCTAGGAAGCAACCTTAACCAGGATTCCTACAGAGGCATTCTACAGCAAACAATGCTTCCCTTTGTAAGAGTCAACTTCAGGAACAACTTTGTGTACCATGACGACTATGCACCCCCACATCGAGCTCGCAGAATCACTGTTTTCTTCAAAACCAATTGGTTCAGCAACTGCCCTGGCCTGTATACTCCCCAGATATGAACCCAATTGAAAATCTGTGGGTGGAAGTAACTTACAGAATTAGTAGCTATGGTCATCAGCCGGTAAATACTGATGAACTGCGACAGGCAAATATCACTATGTAGAATGATATCCCCATACAAACTCTGAAAAACTTATCACAGGGTATGCCATATAGGATGAGGGCGATGCAAGCGGCTGATGGAGGTCATACCCGCTATTGATGACTTTTCATGATTTACTGTAATGAGTTCTTTACCTGTGTAACATATCATTAACCGGAGACTATAATTTTCATTAATTTCTTAGATTAAAGTTAAAACTGACATCAAACTGTTGATATGGTTTTCTGGGGGTGTTCTTTTATTTTGAATGACATCTTATGTTTGATTTGATAATATTGACCAAAATACCTCACAATAGAAGACATATTTTTATCACTCAATGACATACTTTTTTGATGAATCAAAGCAAGAAATTTTAATCAGCACTCAAAAATAATAATGATAAAAATATTCCATATTAAGTAGTAAACCTGTAATAAATAGAATGTGCAAATGGTTATTTAAATAAAAATTTATTTGAAGTCACTGAAAAATGATCACAAAATTACCGTAACTAACGTTACGTGCCGTGTCCCAGCCCAATGAAAACTTCATCTAATCCAATCTTTCCGTATTAAAACTCTTCAATGCGTGCAAAGTAGTCTGTCGGTTAGTTTATTTCACGAAGTCCATGCTAATATCAGTTTTCTTAAGAATTTAACATTTCTTGCTTAACAAGGTCGATTTTTCTTCGCCGTGTCCCATGTAACGTTAGTTACGCTGAAACTTCAGAGATCGATATTTATCAGAGAACTTAAAAATGCCGCTTGAAATTTATACATCGATACCTATCTGCTTCCATGCTCACTAATTGATGACGTCTCACACACGAATGGCTTCTTTTGCACACTAAACAGCCAGCTCAAACTGGCACGTGTCCCATTCTAATAACATGTAACGCAGTGACGCTGTCGAGATCGGATGCAGGGCACAGGTGTAGGCCTAATCCCCTCGATTTAACCGACACAGGACTGTTTATAGGGATCTTCATTGTATGCAGGTGAGAAATACTGAGTTTCGTTTCATTTTTCTTCAATTGTTTCAACATATATGTGTACTGATTGGTTATTACCATTCGATTAGTAGGGTGACTTCGTCTGAACTTGTTTTTCGTCAGTGTCACATGGTAACGCGGTGACACCGTATTCATTGTCTCGTTCTCGAAAACTCAATCATCGATATTGAATGAAACTTTTTTAGTTTTGTCTTAAATTAAGCTGCTATACACTGTATTCAGTGGGTTTAAAATCTAACCGTCTGTAAAAAAGAGCAATAAATTGTCTTTGCGAGCTATATGTCTTGTTCTGCGTTCGAGGCTCGCGCGTCCTCTCCTTGCAACACTAACGTTACAATGAAGCACCAAAAATGAGTGAAGAAAACGTGTCTCAGTAGTGTGTGTTTACCACTCATAATGAACTGTACTTTGTTTGAATAAGCAATAAACTATTTGTAATTTTAGGTTACCCATTGTTATCAGAGTAAACAGATTCCTTAATTGTATGATTTTTTTCAGAATCCCAAGAGTGGATGCCTTGGTAGAGCACAGAGCAGATATCACCACAGATGTCAGAAAGAATGTTATAAAACTGAACTTCATTTTGTTAAACTTTGTATTTAACTGAACTTTATTGTGTTAAAGTAATAAAAGATAATAATAATTCTGAAAAAATACTACCCTCTGGAACATTCTTTAGATCAATTTTGTTCAGTTTCTGTCCCATGTAACCACTCGCAAGCTAGTGATACACAATGAATCGATGCTAAACTGTGCAAAACGTTCCTTTTATTTAGACTATACCCGTGACTTAGGCTACAATGACATAAATGTGTGACATAAATGTGTGACAGCTAGCGTTATACAGTGCATCAATGCCAAATTGTGCAAAATATGTATTTTCTGGAAACTGACGAAATTAATTAGTTATTAAATATACATGCTTATGGAGTGTAATTAAAAATGTACTCATTTAATTTTGTTTACCAATTTATATAAAGTTTTAATTTAAGTTGCATAACCTAAATTAAAATTGAATCAACCCAAAAGGAATGTGTTCCATGTTTCTCAGGGTATAAAATGGCTAGCTCTTCGCGATGTCTTACTCTGTCAGCATGGATTTTCAAGCAGTGCGACCTTATTTACAACATGGCAGGTACAGAAGACGAACAACCGACAATCAGAAAAGAGCAATAAGGAGAAGCGCTGCAAACCATTATAAATTAATTAAAAGTTTTATACATTTATACTCGTTTAACTTCAAGACTGTTTAATAAAAGCGAAACTTACATGTACATTTAAGGTACATATTTATATTTCTGTTTTAACTCGAAAGCTGCTGCTTATATTACAGAGCTGTAAGAAAGACACATGCAGTTGGAGTAGAGAGTGGAAATGAAGAGAGGAAGAAGGGGAGATGGAGGAAAGTAGTAGAAAGCGAAGATAATACAACTGCCTTGTTACAAGAAATGCACGACAAAGAGAAAATGACATTGAGGAGAAAAAACAATTACTATACTGATTAATAAAATAAACTTTTTTTGTAAAATCAGGAAGTTCACCAAGGGCACTTATGTATTCTGAATAAATTTATATTTCTTAAGTGATGCTCTTTCTCAATTGCATACAAAAGATAATCCTGCAAATTAGTTTATGAAATGCGAACAATGCACATTTATACTACGCGTTACACTTTAACAGAGGTTAAGAATGTTTATTTTACCTTTAATCCTTATAATTCTTCCCTCCGTATCAGTTAACATTCTGTTTTAAGTGTGAGATTTCATTATTGCTCTTCAATGCGGACTTTCAGTATTAAAACGTAGGGTCCTAGGACTTTCCGTACTGAAATAGAGTGTCTAGGGGGACTCTACATTTCAAAACATAGAGTCCGGGACCCGTTATTTCGAGACAGGGAGTCAGCCGGACTATCAGTTTTAAAACACCGGGTCCGCCGGACCCTAGAATGGTAGGACTCTGTGTTGCTTGACACCGGGTGTAATGAAAAATAATGAATTTGGTCTTAGTACCAGTATATAATGTATTTTTACTTTTTGTGTGATGACATTCACTTACTTCATATTTCTTCTATTATATTGAAAGTCAACCTTATCTAGTCAGATTTTACTTGACCTTGGCTGTTTTAAAAAGTAAAGTTCAATCCTGCCTAATATATATAATGTAATGTAAAAGTAAGTGAACATTAAGGGTATAGTACTGTCCCTCATAAAGGATGGGAAATGAAGACAAATTAATATGTTTAAAGATACATTTTATTATAAACCATGCTCAATCACACTTTAAGCCTACTAATAAGGTTTAACAGTCAACTGATGTTAGCTAAAGAATGCCCTACTCCACCAGCCATAACCACAGATTCAACAACTGTGAATTTCTTTTGTTAGCCTGTCACCTATTATTAGGTCACCATTCTTGTAGCTATTGTTACACCAGTAACAGTGACCACCTATTTGGTGTTATCATATGTGTGTTATCCTGTCTAAATCTTTGTTTATATGAGACAAGCAGCAAATGAGTATACAGCTATCAAGACGGTTTAAATTCAGGAGCATAATGAAAGGGTACAGAGTGTAGAAAAATTGGATTGAGGAAGGTATGTATTACAGTAATGCATCGGATCATTTGGGCGTCTAATCAAATTGAAAATGAGAAAATTGATCTAATTTGTAGTGTCCCTTGTAAACATCATATCTATATAACATTAAATAAGTTATAATTTATGATGTATACTTCCCTTTTAGCCAACAAGGAAACAAGGATACAGAATGCAATCACTGTTTAGTCTCTTTATTTCTTATAAAACTATGATCAATTGCTCATCAAAATATTTCTTTAAATGCAGTTGAAACTATAAACTAAATAAAAAAGCCGGTTAACTAATAAAGGC